TTTGGATTGAATGGTGGGCTGTTTCAAGTGGAGACTAGATTTGATGAAAAGTTAATATCAGATCATTAGTGAAGTGGAAAGGGCGCACCCAGAACCGAATAAAAACATCTAATACAGGAATTCGTGTGGCCGACAGACACGTGTTATACTTTCACATCGCGCCGCGTTAATCGCAAGCAGCGGGCCGTACTGTGCCAGACATTCGCGCGAGATTGAGGGGGATTGTTGAAGACTGGAACTGCTGACGGGCGTCAATCGCGCGCGTCGTTCGTGTTGGGTGCCAGTGGAGACATTGTTTTGTACCGGCTGGGGGGGGGGGGGGGACTCCGGCGAACTCATCGGCCGTTGCGTTGGGGGGCTAGCGGGGTCGATCGCCGAGGGAGAGCGAGTTTTTCCCGAGTGGACTTCGCGGAGCGCGACCGAAGGTTGCGAAGACGACGCCGCCGTTGCCACGGCGGCCCGCTCTGTCTCAGGCCAGCAGGGTGTTATTAACACGCATCAAGGTAGCGTTGACCTCTGTGCACTTATATACCAATAGCCCTTGCAGCATTGCGTGTGTTGGGTAAATAAATCTTTGTAAAAAAGTGTTTTTATTATATTAAAATATTTTAAATGCGACATAAAGATTTCTCTTATGATGGCGATTTTTCCAATGCAGCGGCCAACACCCCCAAACCCTGGAAGCCCCATTCAACGAAAATGTACCCGTCTTTTGTTATAATTTTATTTTGTCCGGAGAAGTTACCCGCTTCCAGGTTACGTCACAATATATATATATATATATAATATATTATATATATATAATATTTATATATATATATATATATAACTGCTAAGCCTACAATAATTTCTAGAAAAAATTGAGGATATTATTAAGAATAAGCAAATAAATTTGTTTTCCATAACTTCTCCTTCAATTTTAACATATTCACTATCCCATTCTTTTGGAGTTATTTTCATTTTTTTAAATTTCCAGCCGCATTTCATGGGAACCATCATCTATTGATTTTTTGTATCTCTTGTTTTCAAAGGGGGCCAGCTATGTTAATCCGAATTTTCATAGGCTAATTTCAGTGTGCAGAAAAAGAAATACAATGTTTGTTTACACCTCTCTGAGATGTTTAGCACCACTAAATTGCCACCGGTAGCTAGCAATGATAATTTTCTGTACCACCAATCTCTGTGAAGACGAATGCTGACAAGTGAATGTTCTTTCTTGCACTCCGTGATTTTCATAATACTATGATATCACAATTTCTGTCCTTACGCAGACATCACTTCTAAAATATTATTACAACTTAGAACATTAGGCAGAAGAAATGAATTAGGCCCTTGTTATTGCAACACAAGTTCAACAATTGGAAAGCTGATCATATAAAATAAAATCTCTTAAATAAAAAGGAATTCCTCAAAATTTGAACTGCAATGTCCACGGTGTTACATTGTCATTGTGCATATTCCAACTTTGCTATATCATGAAAGACTAGCAATGAAGCGCAGGAATTCTAATTTTGCAATTTTGACATTTGCAAAAATGACTGCTAATTACTCCGTTACAATGTTTAATTGTCTATGACCAAAAACTGAATTTCTAGAACAGATTTCAGGTTTCAAAGAGTAATCTATCAAAAATTTTACTGTTACTTGCAACGTCAATTTTTTATGAAATTAAAAATGTGTGAGGCTGAGTTGCACAGGACCCCTCAAAGCATTAAAATATTTATTTCAATTTCGTAGCCAGTCAGATATCAGTCATACTGATTAGCGGAGATAATCAGATTTGGCAAAAGGAGAGAGAGGAGAGAGAGGAGAGAGAGAGGAGAGAGAGAGAGAGAGCGCGCGCGCGCTGGTGTTCATATACATCTTTTACAGAAAATTTAGAATGTGTATGTTTAGGACAAACAAACTTGAAATTCCAAAATTACGTATTTAGATGTGAAGAAATGAACTTTAGAAATCGGGAGGTAAAAAAACTGTATACAATGAAATTATATAAGCTTCAATGCATTTTCTTTTAAATAAGTATAAGAAGAAACAGTTTTTGATATTAGAATGGTTTTTCTCGAAAAGTTTTAATTTTCTGAAATTCGTCCAAATTTCTGAAACATTCTGCCAAGACAGGGTACATCTAAAAAACAAGGTCAAATGTTCGAACACGCACTAATTATGATGCTTGTAGCTTTTTCTTTACACAACATTACACTAGTCAAAAAAAAAATCACCAATCGGAAGATGTGCTTTTTTTCGGCCGATATCAAGTGGAATTACCCATATACACAAGTACAAATAATTTATTTCACTAATAAAAACTTTCCAATATTAAAATATGTGCTAATACGTAAATAAAAAAGTCATGACACAAAACGTTCAAATGAAGCTGCGGTACTTACTTTCCCATTGAATGTAAGATTACGAATACAACCACTAAACTTCTCATCTGATGGGGCGTAATTCCAAAGCATTTCCTTACTGAGAGATGCAAGGTCAACAAATGATCCTCCCAGCTGGAGAGGGCCATTAACATTCAAAAATTCATTAGGTTTTATTGGAGTGGTCAGTCTCAGGCATGAACTCATTTGACAACTGTCTACTTTCATTTCGATACTCTGAAAAAGAAATATCATAATTATATTACTAAAACAGTGAATGAAAGAATGAATTGTGTGAATTAAGAATGAGACAAGCACCGCTAGGCAAAGCGTTCTATCGTACTAATAATTCTGTATCACTACACAAAACTCAAATTATTTAATTAAAATTATGCAAAAACTATTGATATTTTGGAATAGGGGCAAATTAAATTACTTTATATGTAATATTGAGTAAGAAATTCCATCACGAAAGAAAGAACTCATTATTTTCAATGTTCCAGGTAAAAGGCATGGTCTACTAACTCTGAATACGAATTGCTGGTAATAAATATCAACGGCGAAAGAGGTATTTAGAAAAAAGTAAATTGCGTAATTTTTGGCAAAACAAAAGAATGCAGCGAATTTTTTTGGTCAAGTTATACACTGCATTTAGAATTTTCGAAAAACCTGTCACCTTTATAAATATATTTCACTCTATTCTGACAAGAAACTTGAAGGAAAAATTGCAGCCATTTTTAAGATAATGTTGAAAAAATCGAAAGGAGGATTTCATGAGAAAAATGAATTATTTTTCAAAATCGCATAGCTTCGAGTTAGGCCAGATCACAGGCTGTTCAGTTCGGAAAAAGGTACGCATAATTTAGGCGCTAGTGTTGTTCACAAGCGACGGACGAACGTTTTGAAAAGAAATAAACTTTTTCGGTATCAGGGGATCCCACAACGTGTATTTCCGTTGAAATCAGTGGCGGATCCAGTGAGGCCATGCCCCCCCCCCTCCCGTCAACGTCTAGAGTTTTCGTTTGTTACCTTCTTTTATTTGGCAAAATTGATTTAAATATTTAATATAATTATATAAAAAATATTGTATGGTATCACACAAAGTAATATACCATATAATAACAAATGTCTATCATTTAACAAATATCTATGATGCTGCCCAATCTTCAAATGATCGGCTGGATCCGTCCTGGTTGAAATCTCGAAATCGCAGCATTATTAAGCTTTCGTAGCATTATATACGAATATGCATATTAATCCGTATACACGTAGTAGGGTTGGATTTTCTGATATTTTTTTTAGTTTAAACCCATGCACTTGATGGGTTTCTACCATAAATGACTAGTTTTGATTTGCAATATCAGTATTTACGAGTATTAATCGCTGGTAATGAAATTGTCAGTGTTGCTATATATTATGTTAGACGAGATAATTTTAGAAAATAAAACTTTTTTCCACAAAAAATCGGACTGGTTATTCGTCTTTAAGCGCAACATCACCATCACTTTCACCATCTCTGGTTGGCTAATGCAAAGTTTTGTCATAAAATTGTTCATAGCCAACTACATAAGGACTCATACCTACAATAACTGTCTAGTGAAATATTTGAATATAACCAAAATGTTATGAAAGTGCTTTCTTTTATTGAGTAAAACAAATTTATGTTTTGTATGTACGTACTATTTTAGTTATATGAAATGCCCTCCGGCTTTGTTTTTAGATCTACTTTCTTACCGCTGAATGAACCATATGCCTCGCCTTTCACTCTGGCATTGCGTATAATATTTCGCTGTTGAGGTTCGCCACAACGAACTACGCGTCTTACGTACAAGTTCATTTTCAGAACTAGGCTGTTCTCACTCACTTTTCCCTACTAATTACATCAAAATCAAATCACTTTCAAAATAAATTGTAAAACGACAATGTTTTCAGTTTGTAAGTAGCATCTGTTCAATCTCACTACTTTTAGAAAAGCAGATGGAGATCACGACGAGTGTGTCCGTACCTTTCTTAGGAAATCTCCCCTCCCAAACGTGTATCCTAACCAACCCCTGAGGTTGTGCTGATAACTCTTCAAAATAGTTTGGTGGACATGTGACATTTTATGTATTTTATTTTGAATTTCAGGGGTGATTATTATAAATTAAATTACCAACTCTTAATTTATTTTTGGTAGTTAAATTACAAGCTCTGTGTGTTTTCTGGCTTGTTATAAATATTCAATAATCATTCCAAAATAATTGTATACCTCGGATTTTGTTTGCAACACTATCTTCCTGTTTTACATTAAAATTGAATATTTTTCTGTATATGGTTATAGAGGCTTCTAGTTCGACCACTAGCGCCAAAGAGCGGGGCTGTCGCTCTTACGATAGATTATTTTCTTTATTCAATTGTCAGTCTGTAAACCACGCAATCTTCTGTAGATCGCGTAGGGAGGTCAAATATTCCGCTGTAGAAATTAGACTACGGCGGAGGGATATTTATCTTGAATTTACTCGATATAAACGAGCACATCGTTCGCTCCAGGCGCGCCGAGACTGATTCACTCGCCCGTGGACTTCTGCTCCGTTAAACGTTTTTTAATTATTTCTCATAAAAGGCACAATTAGTTTTGTAATTATTATGTTCTCGCCGTGGCTCACTGTCACGTTAAAAATATTGTGGTAACCTTTACTTATTTATGTTTTAACTGTACATAAAAGACTTTTATATTGTACCAATAATTAATTGTAATCTGCTTTACTGGATTCGCTCGTACATTTCGCCTGGTATTATTGTATAATTATATTTTCTTTTGCTCCAGAATTGTGAGATATTCCCGATTGTAAAGGGCTCTGTCTCGATTTATTGTATGCATCTCTCTAATTTGTATTGTATTGTGTTACAGAGACGTTGTATAATTTGTTGCTTTGCCAGTGACCGGGAGGCCGGGGTCAGTAGCTCTACGAGTCAAATGGCAAATATTGTATTGGAACAGGTGTTTCAACAAGCATATCTGCTACTTTCATATGCCGCTTATGTAGCGCAGTCCCGATTCCGCCGACTACGCTTCCTCAAGGCCAGAGCGACACAATTGGTGTTGCGACTTAAAAAAGCTCTGCGGCGCGTATAAATTGGTTACGAGGTCGTGGGTGGCCCGTATCAGGAAACACCATTATTTGTAAGGCGAACGCAAAGGTATTGATGTGTAAGAGCGTAATCCAAGCATATATTTTTGATATTGATGTAGTTATTATGGTACAATGGTCCTTCTATTCGGTACAATTATTGCGAGAACTAATGCCCATAAACATATTGGTATGCAAATGATGTTAGTCAAATTATTAACTCATTTTTGAATAGTAAAATTGAAATTATGTCAAAGGAAAGAACATCATTGCATATAATTATTTTTTATTATTTTTAGAAAGTCCGCTATACAGTGGCTTTGCCACAATTTTGTATTTTGCGCCCTCTGCGCCGTAGTATTCTGTATTGATTTCTTGATATTTCGAGCTATTCCAGAATTTCGAAGCTCTTTAATTTGTATTGTGCGATTTATTCACAAAATTGTAATTCTGTATAATTGTTGGATTTTGTAAAACGGCGAAAGTGCCGTCCTGATCTGCTCACTTCCTTAATAGGATTTGGGTAGGAAATTGTTATAATTGTTTATTTATTTCAGCACATGGGGGATATAAATTGCTATTGATATTTGACATACGTATTTCTTGTTACCCTGTGTACTCGTGAGTCCAATAAACTGAAATTGTGTATTGAAAGTTTGATAACTTTTCTCTACAGTAGAAATTATACTTTCGCAGCTGACCCATTGATCAGACACCTGCTTCCTAATTTTTTTTAGGTATCATTATACTTCAGAAGCGTTCCACGCGCACGCCGTTAAAGGTTTTGTGTTGGCCTGTGCTAAGCTAGCGACGTGCGCTGCGGTCATTTCTTTGCCTTTTTTAGGCTGGCAACTGTGTAAATAATTATTCTATTTAAAATTAAAATTCGCCACAGGTCACAACAACATTGATACCAAAATTATTTCTACCCCATTTATTTTTAAAATTCTTGCACGATACTATGCTCTAAGTCATATGTTAAACTCTTTTTAGCATACATTATAACGTATCCAATCGTGTTATTAGACATAGTATGAATGAAGCACATAATTTCAGAGGTTTTTTGTGTAGCATTACATTTTTTCTAATGTATGTATTTATTAATTACATTGAATATCTTTGAATAAAAAGTGGTGATATTGATATTTCAACATTTTTATCATTATACGTAATTCACGTTAATTCTGTAAATGAACTATGATTTTTTTTATACATAATTGGTGTTATATTCCAAGGCTCTGATGGATATTGCTCATTTCAACCATTTTTAAGTGAAATATTTTGAAGATTACAATAATCAAATTAACTAAAATATTTTTCTTGATTATTAAGTCTATTTGTCTGGAATACTGCAAAATTAAAATAAAGCATATCATACTGTAAAGAAAGATAACGATTGGTAATATCGATTTCAAAATTCTTTGTTGCAGTAATTCCAGATAATTCAAATGTTTGTGAATCATAAAACGATATGGTAGAGATAGGATTTTTTATTATATTATCCTTAAATTCCATTGCATAAGAAGAGTCATAAAATACAATTGATACATTAATTTCTAAAATTTGATTGACAATTTTTCCTCCTCTAGGTAATGTAATGTACCATCTGTTTTTCCAAAATGTAATGTAACATCTGTGTTTTTGTTGTCCACCGGTATAAAAGATTCATAGGAGACAAAGTAAATGAAGTAAAATCTCCTTTAAGTGATTTCCTTAAAATCTTTAAAAAATCCTCCCAATATTCTCAACGGATACAGAACCTCATCTTCCTTGGTTTGAAGTTTAGGGTTAGAACTAATACCAGCAACGTCCAATGAAATTAATTCAGATATTGAATAAGTACGTTTTTGTAAAACAGTGGACTTAATTCCAAGATATTTTAATCGAAATATATTTTGATCTCCTTTTTAACTCTAATAGATGAAAATAAATGAGGTACAAAATTATCGATCAGTTGAAAATTTTATTTACATTCATATGCTGTAAAATCGGATCCAGTTGTCCGCTTCTATTCCGCTCTATCGATATGCATCCCACCAACTCCTACATTCATGTCTGTAGTCATGTTGTGTTGTCCAATATAACTTTTACTACGATCAGTAGAAGGAAAAGATTGCAACTCTCAAT